AAAGCAAGGACAACTGAGACATGGAGAGCACACAGATCTGTGATTCACTGACACAGATAGTTGTTGTAACAATGCTTATAGGAGGCAGATACAGAGTGAAATAAAGGCAATCTGAAACCAAAATAGGGAATCCTTATTAAAAGAGTGAAACAAAATGGAGAGAGAAGAGAAAAAAAAACACCACAAAAAGACACTTAATATTTTGTAGGGGGATCAGAGTTTGTAAAGAGTAGTCACAAAACTTGAAAACACTGAACAAACATTTTCTGGGATCAGTCAAATTGCTAAGTTTTGGTTATTTTTGTGAGGGAAAAGATCCTATTTTCTCCATGAGATGTTAACTCACATTACACAAATATAAGCTTGCTGACCAAGGTCTTTTTTTCCTGATGAAACAGAATTTTCCAGAGAACAAAACACCATTTTCTTACTGGATCTTAATAATGCCTTCAGGAAATTTCCCATGCTTATGCAGATTTTTCTACAGCAGCAACAACAAAATACAACGTAAAATTTCTGGTCTTGCTGTCTTATAAATAATAAGTGCAAATTATATACATATAATTCCATACTACAGCACTTGTTTAGGGCTTTAGGGAAGGAAAAAATATAAACCCAAACCCAAAAACTAGGCAAGAAAATCTGTCAAATGTCAATAACCATCACTTCAGATATAAGCCACCTAAGTTTAAAAATTTCTTTATCACTCTGTGAAATTGCCACAAGTTCCAGTGAAACCAGGGGCTCCTCTTATGGGTAATGGATTGCACTGCAGCCCAAGTTTGGGCAGAGAAGTAATGACCAGTATGAAATAGCAAATCATAATGAAAAGTTTATTACTTTCACAGTGCAAAATATCCCAGTATCTGAAAATAAAAATGGTTTAAATGTAAGCAATAAATAAACCAACATTATCCAGTGTTCAAAGTGCCAGGCTAATGAAATTAAAGGATTGTTCACTAACCTCTCAGAGTCCATTAAAAAATAAGGAGTTTGGCAGAATTAAATCCCTCAATGACATATACACTTAAACATACTTCCTCATCCCTATTCCTTCTTTATGAGAAGGTGTAATATGTAAAAAGCCTAGATTGCTCAGACTCAGTCAACAATAATTACTTTATTCTTGGCTATCATTCTTTAAAACTTATTCCTGATCTGGCATGTTTTCTTTATGAAATCCCTTATGGCCATCTGTTGAAATGAACTAAAGTATTTTCCAAGGATGTATATAATGCAGAAGAAACAGTCAGTGTTAAGATCATAAAAATCTGTAAAAAAGAGAAAGGCACATGAACGTGTGCATTAACTGGTGTGACATTGGCTCTGATTCAGCCTGGAAAGGGACATTGAGAGGTGATAGGAGAGAATGGTACCAGGAAATCAGTAAGGTACACAGCCAGGGTTACAGCTCCTTCATGGCAGAGTTCCTGTATTACAAGGAGTGAAAAACAAAGTGTTGCTGCTTTTTCTTCTAATGCCCACTTTATACCAAGGACAAGCATCCATCAAAGCAGTCTGTAAATTATTCTTTACTTTTTCTATATCTCATCACTCATTCTTCTCTCTGGAAAAGGAAACAACTCTGGGTTCACCTACTGTATGCATTTTTGGAAATATTTAAAGGTGTTGTATGGTATTTTAAGTTATTTTATGACTCATCATGTTGAATGTACAAAAAGATTTTTCAGCTACAACTCTCCTTCCCACGTATTTTTGAACAAGCTGACTTACCTTTTAGATGCACTTAGCAAAAAACTTTATGCTTTCTGACAGATCCTCAACAAGACAGCAAATTCAGAATGAACCAGTGTAAGGCAGTCATACATCCTCATACTTGAAATTTATGCTCAGCTAAGCAACTAACAGTGTTAAATTTCTTCCAAATAGTTGGACATATTTAGCTGCTTCTTTTGTTTGAAAATAATTCACTGAAAGATCCAAAGCTTTGCAGATTTACTTGTCAATAAACATTAATCTGCAAATGGTTCATGGAAGCATCGTGCAGCCAATGGGCGGCTCACAATCTGTTTATTGCTCCTATTGCCTGGTAGCTGTTATCACTGCAACTGCTTCCTCATACAATGACTCCTAAAGAGCTTCAAAAGGCCACAAAACAGTTTAATTCAAATATCCCTGCAAAGCCACATACCATGTTTGTTTCCTGCTAACACCCTTCTGAACACAGATCCACTCAGAAAACATTGATGGAAGCCTCAAGTTGTTTTTGAAGCATTTGCCTAAGGCCAAAAATTTCAGTAGTGACTAATTATTTTGGGTACTACATCTGCAGCGCTTCCCAGACATGCACCTGCAAGATATCTGTGTATAGAGTGGTGGAAATCCACAATAATTCTGGGTTAGACCCTCTGAGAATGTCTCCAGGTGAACGGCCAAAAATTCAGGTGTTTGACATCCTTAGGCATTTTTGAAAATTGTTAGTTTAGTGTGGGGTTTTCCTTGTTGTATGTTTTCTTGTTTTGGTTTGGTTTTTTTTCCCCTAGCAGAACTTGAGTGCTCTTTCCACAGACATCTTTCTCTTGGCTTATAAGATTTCCATAACATACAATTTTGAGATATCACCTTTCAGTTGTAATGAAATTCAGATAACATGTATCTGAGTTTTTTTTCCTTAGGGAGAGAAAATTTATGGTGAGAAGAAAAAAGAAAAGTGGAGAAAGGGGACTGTGCATATTAAATGACAGGCAAACTCTCAAATTGCCATAGTTATAACATTTTTCAAGGTCATGTGTCAAATACAAATGAAATAATGAACCCTTGCTAGTCTGTGGTATCCCACGTCAGGCAACTTAGGCATCAGCATCAATACAATACCTATGATGAACTGCACTTCTGTGCCCTGCTGCTCTAACCTGGAAGTTTAAAAGGCAACAGTTAAGTTTTCTAAAAAAGAGCAGGAAAAACAGGAAAAATGGGGCTAAGAGCTAGTAGTATTCTTAATTGTGGAATGCTTATTTAATATCAAAGCAAAAGAACTAAAAATGTGCAGACTGTAGGTAAAAGGCAAGGAACAGGGGTGTTAATGAAAAGGTTGGATAGGCTGCAGCTATGAGACTCATATCTGACCCATGAGACATTTCAAGAAAACAACAAGGTGGGAGTGTGGGGGGAAACATTAGAGGTGGGAGAGCTGCTATTTACAATCCTATGATAGAGTGTAATGCAAAAAAAAAAAAAAGCATCAAAGCTATTTTTTACAAAAGACACAGGACTGCATGAAAAAAACTGCCCAACTTGGATGATTCATTTTATTTTAAACTACGTCACTCTAAATCATCAAGTTCCTTCCAGAAAGGCAACTTATAGTTACCTATACACTGCAAAGGGGGTGTACATTATAATCCAATTTAGGACATGTTATATTGTATTATTAGAGAACAATTTTCACTTTGCACAGCTCAAAATGTCTTAATGGGTTTAAAACACATGCTTCTTTTCCTTTTCTCCCCTCTCAGCCCCGCATAAAATGAAGCTATGGTAATATTTCTGTTCCATGTGCCTTCCTGGGAAGTACATGTTGCTGAAACTGAAATGGGTGACTCCAGAGTTACATATGTTACAGCCATATTTTGAAACCAGTCATTGCAGGAAATGAATAAAATTTTCAGCCATTTCACAAAATGGCTGTTTCATTCAGTTACTCTGTGAAATAAGAGAAAGTTTCACACCTTTAATGAACTTTGGTAAACAAGTAGGGGTGCACCATGTGAAATATCTGATACCTTATGACAAGAATTAACTTAAAAAGACAACACATGAGTAATTTATTTACTTCTAAAGCCATACTTATGTCTACATTTATTCCTGAAATCTTCCAGTCTCACATGCCAGAACTGAACTTGTCTTCATAACTAACATGACTGTAACATCAGTATTTTCTCCATTTTGCTTTTTTTCCTCCCTCTGAAGACCGTGCTTTACTGAGAGTCCTGCCTGCAAAGCCAGCACTACCCAGGCTCCTTCCTGCTGGCCAGAGCAGCTGACAAGGACAGAGGGCAGCACATGGGCAGGATTGTGCAGGAAGTGGCTGGCAAGGTGCCTTAAAAGTGAAGGACCAGTTAGCTCATGGGTATTGGTGGGTGGAGAGTTGGGTGGATCTGGATGAGTCCATTCTGAGACAGCTTGAGCTATAGGAATTGGTCTAACCTTTAGATTAGTTTAGCAGTGCTTCCCATTTGATTGCCTAGCACTGTATCAGGCATGGGGAGCAGTGTGTCTGCTGGGGATGTGGGGCATCAGAAAGAACACTGAATATAAATTACAGATTCTGCTGACTGTGGAGGTGGCTGATGATCCCTGATAGTAGAAAGGCAGAGTTATGCCTACATTTGGGATTGGTACAGAAACAAGATGCATACAGTGTGAAGTTTATTTCAGATTGATGGGTGGTGCTTTGAGAACTGGGCGAAGTGGGTCCACACAGTCCAGTCCCATGAATATTGTCTGACATCCATGCCAAGACCATTTGCTTATCATACCCTTTGAGAGACCCCTGAATTAGTGGATATTTTGCTTTTCCATACACCAAAACAACTGGAGGCCACAGAAGCTTCATTTCTTGGATGACTTCAGCAGCAATTTCAGTTCTTTCACCACTCTGCAACCCAACCAAGTAGGGTTACCAAGACCCAACCAAGAATTGCCAAGTAGGAGAAAAATACTGCAAAACTGAAAGGCTGTTTCTGGTTCCCTGCGAGGTAAAGGCTCAGAGAACACAAAATCTAAGAAGGTGGTCTTGATACACCATTACATCCTTAAAATTGCCCTGAGATGAAGCTTGCAGACCAATAAAGTCAGCCTGGCCTCTGATGAGTATTCATTGCTCTAATGGTCAGTTTTATAGCAAGGCCATTAGTCAAGGATTTTAACACCCAAAACAGAAAAATCTCAAGAGCTCAGCAGTCTGTCTTTTGGTGTTTGCATATTCAGATGATAAATGCTTTATAACAAGAACAGGTAACAATTCTTACTTATCATACCTCTCTTCAACGTTCACACAGTATGTAGGAAATGCTTCTTTAGTCCAGTGGTTTTGATTAGCTGCTTCTTGCCACCAGCCATAGAATTTCACACCTATGAGCAGTGGAGGAAAATTCCATAACCAAAGAAGAGACAAATTATGATGAGAGCAGAAAGAAAAAGTAACTAAGAAAGAAAGGAGAGAGAAAAGGAGAGAGAGAAAAAAAAGCAACCTGTTTTTTCAAACTTACTTTACAAGCAAGTAGTGTTCAAGTCTTGAACTGAGTTTGGGATCTTGGCTTGCCTTTATGATCTCAGCGATAACTGTACTGTGTTTTCCCTTTAGTATCAAGCGCTTTGGACACTTCTCATACTTTTTGGAAAGTTCATTTCTGAACCTACCTTCAAAATCCAGAGTCATGCCCAGCAGCCAGTGCAGAAAAAAGCAAAGGATCTTTATCCAATAACATCCCTTTTCCCAATATGCCTGATACTGGGTGAAGCAGCCAAACAGTCTGGCGGAATTTGCAGCACGTCAGTCACTTTGTAGAGCACACGAAACTTTTAGTCATTTTACCAAATGAGTGACTGAAGGAGTCATTTGAAAAATGACTGAAAATTTCAGTCATTTCGGGAAATCACTGGTTTCATGATACTTCTAACATACCGTGTGCACAGGGGAAGGCTCAGGCTGGAAGTGGGAAGCAGATTGCGTTCTTCAAACCCCCTCTTGTGGCTGTGGCGAACAGCGCCACAAAATACCGCATTTTACTGTGATCTTTTGTTTAAAGATCGCAGTGATTGCTTAGGAAGGAAGGAGATGTGAGAAACCTTGTTTTATCCCGATGCTAATACTCTTCCTTGAAAATCTCTGTCAAGGGAGGTTCTTAGGACTTTTTCCTCAATTCTTAAGAAATGGTACATTCGGTTTGAGCAGGGTACATCTGCAGAGATCCAGTACAAAGCAGTTACCAAAAAGATTCCATATGGATCAATCCAATGGCTATTTCATGTGACTATTTAGTTTCAGTATAGCTGTATCTGTCTTATATGGAAGTAAATCCTTCACTTTGTTTTCTGCAAAGTGTTTTAAAGCTTCACAGCCTTCAGGTAGAGCTGAAATAAAATTAATGTGCCCAGAGAATACTTTCTTAGCAGATAGTTAGCAGTGAAAAAGCTTTCACAAATGCAGGTGAGCAGCTATTCAAATCCAAGCAACTTAGAACAAAAGCTGTCCTGAAGGACAAACTCCTTGCTTTTCTAAGTAGAAACCAAATAATTGATCTTCTTGTCTGAATGGGACTGAAACAAGGAGATGATGGGAAAGGAGGGCAGGGTAAGGAGAGAGGTGATTGTGGTTTACTCTGAACTCTAAAATTCTTGCTTACTTCCAAAGTGTTTTAAAAACAGTGATGCAAGTGATGGCAGAAATTTTTGATCAATACCATGTATCTGCCGTGCTGCCTTCACACTGGCTTTGGGATGTTGCATGTTGAGGATGTGTTTGCAGAAATAGTACCCTACCTTGACTCTCTGGCAAAAGGATAATGCCAGGCAGGGAGTTAAAGCCATCAGATCTGATCCTTACTTGGTTTGCAGCCACTCAGAAAAGATCAGCACTGGTGTCCTCTGTAGGACTTCAACACAAAAGCCTTTGGACACCGTCAAGGTCTGTGATACTTCATTTTGCCAGCATTCTCCTCTTCCCAAATACCACATACTTCCCCTTTCTTCCACTATTGTTTCAGAGAATTCTTTTAAATACATTTTTGATCTAATTTAAGTAAACATGGTATTTCAGCATAACTACAGCTATTCATTTCTCTTTTTTTCTTTTTTTATTTATCTTAATTTTGTACTTACAGTGATATTGAGAGTCAGTGGACTCATAACTTCTGAAAGCATAGTCTGAGAGAATCTGCTAGAAGTCAATTTTTTGTACATTATAATCTGGTAGACTGAAAGACTACACAGATCAACTACAAAAGTACTTCATACCAAAACTTCGAGGAAGTGTGTTTGATCAAAGCAAAAGAAAAATATTAAATTGCGTAATTTAATAAAGGCTTACATTAAAGTGAAACACCCTGAGCATATAATAGTTTAAAAATATATCATGGTAAAACATTACTTACTCAACAGAAAGGAAACAATTGATTGTGCTCTCCTTGGATTTTTTTCCCATTATGTAGGCTGCTCAAAATAATGACCATTATTAAGTTCAATATACTTAATTTAATATGTTAGGCAAACAGCACAGTGAGTTTCTGCTACACAGGTCTGTAAAAACTAAACTGAAATTCTTTTTTACATGAAAAATTAGAGACACTTTTTAGGGAAACATTTTAATATTTCATTTGAAAAATGCAACTATGATGTCAGCTAGAAAACATTTTTCTTTAGCTAAAACTGTCATACTTCACAAAAACCACAGTATGAATACTGGCTACACATTCTTTTGACAATAGATACTTCAGCAGCATGGTTTTGTCCATGTCTCTATATATTTAAAGAGCCCAAGGTCTGGTTCCTGGTTCTGGCACAGTTTTTGCAAGTGCGTTAGGTCAAGGCGAGGACTTGTAACAGTGACTCTGAATCTGTTTGAACGTGTCTGAGTTTGAAACCAGTGAAATTCCACTGCGCTTCATTTCAGAATGTCCTGATGTGCCTCAGCTCCCTAAAAATATCTTTCTGGAAGCGAAAATTTATTAGCTCTTGTGAAGAACCCTTATGCTGTGACAACAGGGAACAGACAGGAGGGACAAGGGCAAATCAGGACTGGCCCAAAGCTCCTCAGCAGGGTAAGACAAAATTCATTTTTTCCATTCTTCAACTTATGTCATACTCACAGGAACACAACTTCTCCATGTAGCACCCTTCCTAGACAATATGCTGGCCTAGGGAAAGATCAGCCTTCCCGGGAGGCAGTGGCCAGAGCCAGAGTTTGCCACCTCCCCAGACACTTGGGGATCAGCAGCTGCTGTCCTGGTCTGATCCCAGCCCCCTGCAGTCCCTGTTTTTATCTATAGCTGCAGGTGGTTTTGTCACAGATGGTTGTGTGGCACCTTGAAACGTTGGCTTACACCTTGCCTTGCTTTGAGGGGTGGAATGTGTTTTGGGGCTTTATAATGATCAGGCACAAACTTTCATGGAACCTGCTATAAGCCTGACTAAGTCCTCACACAGCCTTAAGCTTTTCTATCCCAACAGTTTTAATTAAGCCAGCCAGTTCATACTACATGTTTATCACCATTAAACCCAGTATTATTTGCTGAAGTGAATGTAGGCATGCAGAGAAGTCAGGTATTAGTCATTACTGCAAAAGCATACTATATATACATCTACTTTATTGATTTCTAATATTTAATTAGAAATCCACTGTGACCAGCACCGATCTAGCTACGCTAATGAAAATACTAGTATATTATTCTCAGTTCCTTAGCCAATATTTAAGACTTTTTCTATTTACCTAATACTGCGGAAAATCCCTATCTCCAAGTGAGAAGCTACTTTCAAAGACCACAAGATGTTGCCAATGCATGATGCAAAGAGCAATATGTTTTCAAATGTGACTTGTCTACTTTATTCACTTTTAAATATATATTTTCATTATTTTGCACCTGTGCTATGTATTTGGTTATTTTGCACTGTCAGTTTGCATAGTGGATGGTTTCATGGTTAGGCTGAGGAAGTTGGGGCTGTTCCACCTGGAGAAGAGAAGGTTGTTTGGAATCCTCATAACAGAGTTCCAGTATCTGAAGGGGGCCTACAGGGAAGCCTGAGAGGCAATCAGGAACTGTAGTGACAAGATCAGGAGGAATGGCTTCAAACTGAAGGAGAGTAAGTTTAGATTAGATGTTAGGAAAAAATTATTTACTGTGGGGGTGGTAAGGCACTCAAACACATTGTCCAGAAAAATAGAGGATGCCCCAAACATGGCAGTGTTCAATGCCAGGTTGGAGGGGACTTTGAGCAACCTGGTCTACTGGGAGGTGTCCCTGCCTATGGCAGAGGGGGTTGGAATGGGACAAACTTTAAGGTCCCTTCCAAGCCAGAGCATTTTGCACTTCTGTTTTGCAGTTCAGTTGTGCTGAGACACGCCATTGTGATCACATTTTTGCAACAGAACATGACAGGTTGGAAATTCTTTCCTTTTACTTTTTCTCACTTCATCAATCAGTTTCTACTAAGTTAAATTAATTTAATTTCTCAAAGATGGATAAGAGGTGGACTTCTAAACCTCCTGACCTTTCAGCTCTGTGTTTCTGACATTAGTTTGCTAGGGAGGGGATCAGATCTCCCCCATGCTCTTGTTTTCAACTTTATTTATATGGGAATTGGATTTCAGGAGGGCAGATTTTTAGAGAGCACTTCATTTGGGTTGATCTCACAGACAACCATTTTTCCTGTGAATTCTACCATTGCCTTCCATACAAGTAGCATCTGGTGAAGACTGAATACATTTGAAGCTCCTCCTTCAATTCAGCGTTTTTCAAATGGTATCTGTGACTAGAAGAAGCCAAGCTGTGGGTTCAGGACCTGTAACAACTGTTCACTTGATTCAAGACTATAGCATTGGTAGTAACTAGATAGTAGACAAGAAAAACTGCAATGTGGAACAGACTACAGGAAGTAAGAAAATGCAGCTTTGGCATGTTTAAATACAAATATGAATGTGAAAAAAAAACATTTTAAGCTAGGTTGTCAATTCAGTAGAAGATACAATACTTGGTTTTCTTAACCTTTCCATAGCAAGTGAGGACAGCCAGCTGAGAGATTTTTTATCAGAAAAGAATTTAGTGAGTTGAGATTTCCCAGTTCTAGGTCTTCTAAAAAGCACATCAAACTGACATTACTTATCTATCGCATCCATTCACCAAGTGAGAACAACTTGGCATTTTTTTTTTCTAAAACAGCTTACAAAAGCATTCAGTCCAGTCATCATATCTATTGCTTCTCTTTTAAGTTTTCCTTCTGTCATTTCCACAGCTTTATGTTGTGACACTTAAAGACCCACACTTCCTCAGAAAATGATGCTTCAAGGTAAAAAATGGTTCTTGAAGATCAGTTTTCTTTCAAGCTCTGATGTTACTCCCAGTTGTACCACCCTTCTGTCCTGCCTTCTGCACCTTCAGTAATAGACAACACAGAGAGAATTTGCAAAACATTAGGAAACTAATCACCAGGAACTGGATTTGTCTGACCATAAGGAAAATTCTGAAGAGCTATTTGCTTGGCAAGAAGCAAATAGAGAAGCTGAACAGAGAAGCTGAACAGTTAAAGATGTCTTAAAGAGATCTATTTTTTAAAACTTAATATGTTTAAAATTCACATTAAATTTTATGAGAATCACTTTCTTCTTACTATTGATAATTAAATAATCTAATGCTTTTGAGTGTGAAAACAGTAATGTCTCAAGTAACAAGTGACCTCTGCTGCAAAACAAAGTCTGGAGACTTTTCAATGTTCTCAGTCTTCTTTCCTGGCAAAGATCATGTACTACCAGATGGGGATCAATTAAAGGAACATGGAAAAGCTGACAATTGGCTTCTTGGCTAAATTTAAAATGTAAAAAGAAGTTGTTTCAGATGATGCCAAAGTGGCCAAGTTTTACTTAGGAAGTGGAAAATTATTGAAAAAGGTGAAAAACTTTTCAATTTTTTTATTTCTCTCTGGGGTT